TGAGGTGACAATCAAATAAACAATTTGAGATATTCATGTCAGAATTAATAAAGAGAATGATTAACGATTGGGTAACATATCCTTTTATGATTTAGCTGATTTCCAATTATTTACATTCTTCAAAGAATAACTCAGAAATGTTTAGTGAATTTGCTCACAAATTATTTACTCACATATGATGGAGTGAGTTGGTAAATTGAGTAAAATAACAAAGGCAAAAACAGAATTGATAAAGGGAGGGACGAAGGGTAGAGGAAAAATGCTGCAGACGACCTGGGAACAGGGTAAACTATCTGCTGGTAGCTGATTGTGGATGTACAAATCTCTTCAAGATTTAACTGCCTTATTTTACAGGTAACAGAAACCTTGACTCACACAGTACAGTGACTTTGTTTAAAGCAGTTTCTCAACAGCAGCAATTCTGGTATCTGGGGCCAGGTAATTCCTTGCTGTGGGGACTGTCCTATGCACTAGATGGTGTTTAGCAGCATCCCTGGCCTTTACCCACTAAATACCACTAGCCCCTTCTCCCAAACCCAGATGAATTCACACACTGCCAAATGTAGGGGGCGGGGGTGGGACAAAACCTCCTCTGGATGAGAACCACCGCTCTCAAGAAACGTCCAGTACCAGGGTAGGTGACCAAGGATTCTGTCGCCCAAGAGATGACAGAAGGTTCTAGATAAACGCGCACTCCATTGCCATTCACAAGACGTTTTGTTTTCACTCTCAAAAGCGGCAGATTTTTTTTTTTTTTTTTCGGGACGGAGTTTTTTGCTTTTTGTGGCCCAGGCTGGAGTGCAATGGCGCGACATCGGCTCGCTGCAACCTCGGCCTTCCAGGTTCAAGCGATTCTCCTGTCCCAGCCTCCCGAGTAGCTGGGATTACAGGCGCAAGCCGCCATGCCTGGCTAATTATTTGTATTCTAGTAGAGACAGGGTTTCTCCGTGTTGCCCAGGCTGGTCTCGAACTCCTGAGCTAAGGCAATCCACCCGCCTCGGCCTCTCAAAGTGCTAGGATTACAGGCGGGTGAGCCACCGCGCCCGGCTAGAGATTCTTTACAGGACATATTAGTCCTTGTCTTTTGCCCCCACCCCTCCCCGATATTGGAAAGATGAACTAAGTGAAACATGCCTTAGTAAAAACATTATGCCAACTTGAAACCTTGATTTAGTAAAAAATCTCAATGCTTAGATCCTTTGTCCAATGGTAGTATTTATCAGATGTATTCCGCTTGCTCAGAAAATCAAAAGGGCATTACAACCACAAAAGCAAAGAAAAATAAGAAAACTTCCCATCTTGTTCTAGTTGTAAAGATTAAACTGAAATGATTAGGCTTTTCGATTCGTGAGCCAAATACCGTAACACCCTGGCCTTTGACGGGTTTGGATTTTTAACATTACTCGTGGTATTTTAGGAAGTGAGGTTACAGTTACATTTCTTATAGCTGCTAAGTGTATTAAGTTGAATGTAAGGATGCATAATATTGTTTGAATTGAGCCCCACTACCAATTCTTTAACAAATGGCATGAATTCTTACACGTAAATGATTTGGTGGAACTATTCTATCATAATTTCTAAATTGTTTATATACCAAGGTAGCCTTAATTTGTATATGTTTCAGTACAATGAAATTCCCTCTGGCATGCTGTTTGGTTTGTATTTTGAGGAACGTTTTTCTCATGGGAAGAGGAATCTATGACTTCTGTACCTAGATAATTTGTTACATTAAAAAGCTGCTCTTTCAGCAATGTAAGTATATACATACATGTTTTTATGAGGAAAAAAAAGCAGCAGAGATCAGAAGACTGCCACCGTGCTTGGAGAAGAAAGGAAGCCGCCGGTGGCCTTCGCAGTGCTCGCCGGGACTCGTAGTTCCGGGTCTGCGGGCTCCTCCCAGGCGGGGGTCTACTTCCTCTCTCCGCCGCGGCCGCAGCTCCCGGAAGCTGAGGGGGTTAAAGACTTTCGCTTCCTTTCCCCGCCTCTTAGTCCCGCAGATTGCTAGTCGATATAGCCAATAGGAGGGCGGACTGGTGCTTTCTGTTATTTGATTGGTTTAAAGTTTTGCAACCGCCCAGACAAACTTGCCGAAGATTGGCTGAGCCTTCAGTTTTGAAAATCATAGATTTCGCCCGCGCTGCGCCGCCTGGTTGCTCCTCCCGTGCGGTGAGCCCCGAAGGCCCGGAGCCGAGTGGGTCTGGGCAAGCGGGGCGTCAGCTAGGGATACCACCGGATTTGGAGCGGAGCAGCCTTCAGGGGACGTGGCGCAGTCGAGTGAGTGCGCGTGGGCGTGGGGATTGGAGGGTGGTTCGCGATTATTTCCCCGGCCTCTGCTCCGCCCCTGCCGACTCCAGACCAGGGTCGTGACTCCCCAACCCAGTTCCTGGCTGCCTGGGCATATGAGGGTCACCTCTTCCAAGTGGCGAGGTCTCCTGCCTTGGTTCTCGGGCCCGAGATGCCCCCCACCCCTTCCACCTAGGCCCTCAGCTTCCTAGAGCATAGCCCCGTCCCCTCCGCTCCCGGCTGCCTAGCACCTTGTTTTGTGCCTGCGAGGATTATTGTTGACTTGGACGCGCAGGAAGCCCGAAACCAACCCGGTGGTTTGACGGAATGATGCCAGATGGCATTTCTGTGCAGTTAAAACCCCTCTCTCAACGCCCCCGCCCCCAGCTGAGCAGCATTTTAAACTGACCATTTCCGGAGGCTGGGCCGCCCCTTGTCACTCCCCAAGCCTGTTCGCTGTCAGCGGTTCAGTCTCGTTCAGCTAACATGGGTTGCTCGCGGGGTTGCCCAGAGCCAAGACTGGGCGCCTTCCTTTCAGAGGTTGATATTTAGAAGGCGGTATAGCCGGGTGGTTAAGGGCACGGTTTAAAGGACGCATAGCCAGTGGCTAAGGGCACGGAATGCCCCTGATTTACCGGCTGATTTTGACTTCTCTTTGCCTCAATTTCCTCATCTTCTCATGCATATCCTCAAGGTTGTGGTGAGAATTAAATGAGATGATGTCTGACTCGGGCATGGAGTAGAACTCAGTAAATGGGAGCAGCTGCTATGAGCTTTCTGCACAGAGGTGTGGTAGGCACCCAACTTACAGCACCCTGAAAAGAACAGGAGTCATAGAGGAGGGCGATGGGGCCTTCAGTCTGGTGTATGGTGTGGAAGAAGTGTTGGAGAGGAAGAGTGGAGAGTGCCTCCCTCGGTGGAGTGGTGGGTGCTCTTTGTGTGCAGTTGCTTACATGGGCTGAAGAAGAGATTTTTGCTGCTCTTCCAGGAGACTGATTCTTGGTACACTGACTCCTTCTTTTTCAGGGTCACCTCTGTTTTAACTTATGGTAACCCTTTTTAAATGGCTGCGCTAAGATCTAAGCAAACTTCCCCATGAAAGATGTCCAATTGCTTTCATGGACTTTGTGAAAGAAGCTCTCATCCACGTTGGCCATTTGAACAAATACTTTTTTAAAAGTTAGCCAGTTGTTGCTTTTCTCCGCAAATCTTTGGCTTCCTTAAACAGTTTTCTCTTTTCTGGCCTGAGGTTCTGCGCTTTGCCAGGGTTGTGGTCTGGGTGCAGAAGGGTTAGGGGAAGGTGAGGGATGGCAGTGAAAAGGCCTTGCCTGTGATTGGCTGGCTGCAGAGCCGAGGTTTCAGCCCAAAGCCTGTAGGATCCTGCCCGTTTGGCCCTGCCCTGATTATTGCTGCCCTTGGCATCTAGGAGCAGGGGCTTTGAACATGTGTTGGTCAGTTCTAACCTGTGCAGATTAAGTTTATTTGGTGCCCTTTGTGTGGTGGGATGAGCACCTGTAGGATGTTTATTTCTAGGTGTAGAGTTGATGGGTGGATTAATTCATTCAACAAGTATTCCTTGTTGCCAGGCACTGCTGTGCTCTGGGCACTCAACAATGAGCAAGTCAGACAGGGGCTTGCCCTCAGAGAGCAATTGTTTAGTGGGCAGGGACAGGCAGTAAGCAACAGGTAAAAACAAGCACGCAAGTGCTCTGCAGAGAATTGCAGTCAATGGGTGGGATCGTGGCTGGGGCTACTTTAGTTTGGTGGTCAGGTTTCCCTGAGGATCTGAGATCCAAGCCATGAGGAGTGAGCCATACAAAATGGGAGACAGTGTTCCAGACACAGGCCAGAGCTTGTTGAGGAACAAAGGCTAGTGTGTCCCTGAATCAAGCCCAAGGAGGTCCCATGAGACTGAAACCTGACCTGGTGCTATGCCCTGTGAGGGATCAAGGGGTCAGCAATTTGTCCCTTCCTTCCAAGAGCTTCCATTGTAGATGGGAGGCTAAGCTGTGCATGGTTCTTGTTTGTTTGTTTGTTTGTTTGAGACAGAGTCTCGCCCTGTTGCCCAGGCTGGAGTGCAATGGCACGATCTCAGCTCACTGCAGCCTCTGCCTCCCAGGTTCAAGTGATTCCCCTGCCTCA